TCGAATATCAGCGTTATTCATTTTCCCTCAGAGTGTGCACCATTTGGAATTATCTACCAAGCGACGTTATCTCTGCACCCACAATTGATTATCTCAACCAAAAACTGGATGAAACTTTGACAAGTCTTAAATTCCAACATCCGTAGTAGTGCACAAACAAGAATAATTTGTGGCATTCCTCATCTTTCCAAGAACCATAGATCGATCCATTTGTGCTAAACCTTTCAAAAGCCTCAGTATGGTTGGGGGTCGGTGTCTAAGGTTGCGGCTGGTCACCATCTCCTTGCACTTCACGAAATGCTCCCATATGACCAAGCGGCTCAAATAGCCTCTGTCGAGGAAGCCCTACTAACTGCCTTCTCATGGCAGAGTTGTTTTCCCACCAAAGCGAGAGGACGAACAGCCGATATCCGGGTTGGTGGACCACTGTTAGTTCACCTAGGGGAAACGGCCAAATATCCTAATTCTAAACCAACCAAAAGGAGGCGTACGAACCACACAATTTCTGGTTGAGGCAGTGGTCACCGGTCTGATTTGGTATCGGGGTGTATTGGGCACCTTGGACATTCGATCCCGTCCAATATACATCACCGGCTTGAGGACCAGTATGGTGCCAATGCATCAATGAAAATATTGGCAGAAAACTAAACAGATAAGTGCAATGAAAATGGGTAAAAACAGAGTGAATAAATGAATGAATTCACCGTCCACTTTTTGATTATTTCTATTGGCTGTTATAGGGAGAAGGGTTTCGATAAACAAACCGCGCAACAATCGCGCCACTGATCAATGCCAATACTGAGGCTAACTTCTTCTAAACCATGTCATAGCCTGGCCGCTGCGGCGCTCAGTAGCTAGGTCGAAATCGACCAATATCACATGCACAATGTGCGACAGATGATGACTCTGGGTATCGATATAATGCTGGCACTTTGAAATAACGAAATTGTTGGGACGAAGATCAATACGATTCGTCCCAAGATAAACCCGGGTGCATACTTGCTGACACTGTGAACAAAATCAAACAACTTTACAACACATTCGACCCAAATTAGGGTCATCGCGGATCAATACTAATCTCGCAAAGATAAATCAACAATATTGCTTCGTGCGACAATATTCACTCTCTCCGTCCGTCTAGTCCGTAGTCTATGGCCGGTTGAACATTGCTCGCTGTGTATTTCATTGGTACATTCGTTTTCTTGCATTGATCAATGTTATTTTCAGTCACATAAAACTTGTAAATGGATGCACGACTCATGACTCGTGACTTGTGATTTGTGCTCAACGCCATTAAAATCCCGTGCTGCTGAAGCCGTGTCTTCTCGCCCGCGTGTTTGGGAGGCCTGAGAGATCGATAGCCGACCGTGCGTCCTGTTTCGCCTAGGTAGCTTCTGCTCCTAGAACTATCATCCGCTCACGGACTTAGTGTTAGTCCGCTGTTCTGGTTTCCCGTGTGCTACTATTGTTACTGTGCTATATCTTGTGTTCTTTGCACTTGTGGTATTCTCCTGTGATATAGTGCTGTGCGACCTAATAGTAGGCAGTGGATATACGCGGCGCAAAATATAACAATTTGGCGACATAACAGAAATTGTGAGCATTTGTGAAGAAAACGCGTTCGAAACTCCCTAATATTGACTGAACAACCGCACAGTTTCTCCAAGGGTTGATTAGTACAAAACCTAAGTGCAATTTAGACACAGATACCGCATTTACGAGATATCTGACGAAGGACGAACTATATGAAAAACCTCACTATCTGTCTCCGGAATAGAATGCAATCCTAGTCACGTGATCCAATCCCAATTCGGGTGGCTTTTACTGTTTCTCCCTACCAGCCACCACTCACCTACCAATCCACCCAAACACACAAGGAACAAATGCTTAGCTCCGAAGACGGACAGATTTCCATCTAAATGCATTTTTTGGACGCCCGGTTACATTACTGGTAACATTTCTAAATGTGGGTGCCACTTACGATCAAGTATAACTCGTATCTTCTAGTACTATGCAACTTGCTGGGGCCTGGTTTGACATTATTTTTCCGATTATTTCCCCATCATGAAGATAAATCGATTTCATAGAAGAATTTAGGTGGAATTGTGGGTGAGAAGTGCAAATTGGCTTCCATCGTGCCACGACCACTAATGAGAGTTTGGTTGTTGCACCTTCAATTCCCTCCATAGACCAACGCGGTAACATTTCACGTAAAGCGTTATGGGGGAAGGCCGTTCAACCTGAACATATCTTGTACATATCTCCGATCGAATTCATATCCCACCTTACTATTCCGTATAGTACGCTCCGGGATATTGTGCAGCAATACAAAGCTTCGTTCTACATAAAAGCATTTGCTGCGTTTGCTTTATTATTTTTAATTATTTTTCTAGCGCCTCGACTTTGGCCCCAAGAACGGCTACTTCTACTGGATTTGTCTTTTTATTTTGCGCTGCTTTCCTTGCACTACCTACCTTTTGGCTTACGGTTCCTTTTAGTTGATGCTTTTCCCTTTCGGAGGTCCTGACTGTACCTTGTGGCTCCGATTTTTTTGTTCCCTACATCATTGATCCCCGTCAATATGCGGGAGCACTCCTCCGCCAAGGAGCGAAATGCCTAAATATCCATTTCAGAGATGGATATTGCCTACGAAACAAAGAAAACTTGCAACATCTTTGGTGGTACCATGTCCGGCACCTATCGCACTGGATACCACTTTGCACCTGTTCCTGACACTGGCTGATACCACATTGGTCCCGTATGGGCGCCATTTTATGAACAACTTAAAATGAACCGAGAAGGAACAAAAAGGACTCGTAACCTTAAGGGAAAAAGTGACAAAAGGAGAACCTCTAAAACTTCGAAACAATAAAAACGGTTATCAGTGACTAGTCAAAACCAGTCAGAGTTTGATACTATGAAATATCTCAAGATATTCACGGGTAAAACATAGAACAGTAAAAACAGGTGACTATGTGAAATATCAAGAGATATCTGATTTCCACTTGGCAGAATGATTCCAGACTGAGAGCACTTTACCAATTCTAACCGTGTGCGAGGTACGTACCATTTAAAGGTGTATCCATGTTCGGTATACGTTTTGCACCGTCAAGATGCAAAATGTTGCTGCTAGACTGGGTTGTTCAAGCACGCAGCCTCACCCTAACTGGGGAAGTAATAGAGAAAATGGATAAGTTTTGTTACCTGGACAGCTACATCTCACGAATGAAGTGTTAGCTCACATACAGAAGGCTTGATTAGCATTTGCCAACTTGAGACATCTGTGGCAACGTCGCGACATCCGACCGTCTGTGAAGGGTCAGATGTATGCCGCGGCAGTTCGGTCAGCTCTGCTATACGGCGCAGAAACTTGGCCATCAAGAAAACAGGATGAAGATAGACTGTCGGTATTTGAACACCGCTGTCCACGCAGCATTGCACGAATCTGGTGGGGAAACCGGACGAGCAATGCTGAGGTTAGGCATAGATGTTTAGGTGATCACGGTCACCCACTGGAGCAAGTGATCCACCTTCATAGATTACGTTGGCTGGGGCATGTGTTACGCATGTCGCCCAATAGGTTGGCATGGCTAGCGATATTTGCCGAGGCAAGTGGTGGGTGGAACAAAGGCAAGGGTGGTCACGCTAAGATCTGGCACGAGGGTATGACAACCCTAATCAGGAGACTAGGTCACATAGGTGCCGTTAGGCTCCCTGGCTGGGGACCTCGGAGCGATGGTAACCGATGGTTAAAGACACTGAGCGATATAGCTAAGTGCCGTAAACAGTGGCGTTCGTGCATCTTCTCGATTTCTCGGCAACCTTAGTCCACCGAAATTCTTCATTTCATCTGCTGTACTTCAACCTTCTTGTCGTTCTCCTACTGCTCACCCAAACGGGCAGCCAAAGACAGTAACCAAAACCGGGGCACGAAATTGCATGGTTAATGATTGTTCAAACTGGAACAGAAATGATTCTACTCCTAGGTTAGTAAACAACATCTGGTCGGCGGAACGCATCCTTTCGTCCTGGGGTGAATCAGTGATCGTTTCTGTCTTCGAAAAGGGATCAGGAAAGACTGCACAAACCATCGTAGGAAAAGCTTTGGTTCCGATTATTGTAGAAGTGTTAGCATCTGTGAAACTGCACCACCTAACGACCTAAGGGAGATGAGCTTTCGCTGACCGCGAAGCAGAATTCGAGCAAAGTCGAGGTTGTGGGGACCAAATCATGATAAGGTAAACAGAATAGACAAGAATCGCAATCGGATCACGCAAACGTACTGCCCAAGTCTATCGTCAACGAAGTGACAGTAACGAGGTAAACCGTTAAAAATTTCGCAGTTACCATCCAGGGTGTACGAACTAGCTATAATGAACAGGTAATAACGCACAGTTACGTAGGAAAAACAATCGCTTACCGGATTTTAAGGGAACGCCATTCCTAGTCCAAACGATTCGATCGAAAAATAAATGTGTCAATTGATTGACACGGGCCGACCATCGACGAACCCGATTCAGTGATTCAGATAATTTGGTGTTCAGAGTGGAATCTGTCGAGTGGTCAGAATTGGCCGATTCAAGTACCTAGCGAGGGAAAGAAAACCAAGAAAAAAACAGTTACATTTTTGTGGTTTATCGTCTAATATTGCAAAGAAATTGAGATGCACGAACGCCACTGTCTATGGCTGAGTGTCGTAAACAGTGGCGCTAGTGCATCTTTTCCATTTCTTTGCAACATTAGTCCACCGAAATTCCCAATTTTCTTTTCGATTCCACTTTCAACCTTTCCTGTCTTTCTCCTATTGTTCATCCAAATGGGCAGCCAAAGGACAGCAACCAAAACCGGTGCAGAAAAGTGCATGGTTAATGGTTGTCCAAACTGAAACTGATAATCGAAAAACTGGTTTGTATTGTGAAAAAATCCAGAGCCTCGATGGGATTCGGATCCAAGCAGAAACGACGTCTACGCCTTTGCACGACACACGCACTACTAGATGAGTAGCGAAGCCATACTGGCAATTTTTATCGCACCTAACCACCAAACCAACTTGTAGAATCATTGGCAACAAACTGATTAGCATTTAAGCCGTCTGTCCTGGCCAGTTTTCACTAGAATCAACATCATCAAACAGCCAAAAACTCACAGTATAGACAAAGAAAGTGGAAGAGCTTAAGGTGGACTAAGAGTGAGCTGGTTCTGAGAGAAGGGAAAAACAAGTGAACCTCTATGGTCAACACGCAGAGTATACAGCATAATCTTGCTCACATACAACGCTTCACGTATTCTGATCTGATAATAAATGACATCAAGAATACCACTGCTCCTGATTCGCTTCCAAGTTCTTTATTGTCCCCAACCAACCAGTGGCAGAACCCTTTGGACCTGACCTTCAAAGACGGGAGGTACCTACTCTATCTAATCGTTCTATGAATTTGTTCATGCGACAGACGCATAGCAAGTCGGCCTTTGGGTAATTTGATATCCAGCGTGACGATCCGACTTATCTAAAGTACCAAAATTCCGAAAGTTACTGTTGGGACGGTGCTTAAACAATCCGTCAGGCCGCACACGCCTTCGAGTCAGGCCACACGCACACCCGAAACGCAACAGGCAGGTTGAGTCCGGATTGGTGACTGCAGAACGAGTCAGCCAGTGCTAGTCCGATCGAACAATCGATATGTCAAGGACGCAATCTGATTGATGAGTCACTGCGCCGTTCTCGTATGCATGGTTTATTCTATGTAATTACGTATCGAACTATAATCAAAAAGATACACGCTGACTGGTTGCCTCTAGCTGTGTTCTCTCTGCGCGTTGTTGTTAGGGGTTTAAGCAAGGGTCGCTCATGTCATCCGTACTTTTAGACGGAACACGGCTGTCACGCAGCTACTTTTCAAAACATTCAGGATCCAAATTTCTTGCTAGGTTCTGTCATTGGGTCAGTGATCAACATTTGGTCCCCGAACATGCAACAACCTTCCACTTGTTTTGTGAATGAAAAGCTTGTCAAAAGAACGCATTATGATTGAAACTTTCACGACAGATGTTTTGGAAAAAATACCATGAGGTGAGTGTGGTTATTTTTTGAGGATCACATGGTGATTCGGCACCACCATGTACGAGCATTCACGAATGCCCCTATGAGACGAGTGACTGCATTGTTCAATCGATCACCTGATGCACTGATAGACCCATTCAAAACCAACCATGGTTCCACTTGTTTCTTTTCTAACACATCGTGACCAAATGATGTTAGGAGTGTATCAAAAAATTGATGCATCATGTGTTGTTTTATTGGTAATGTTATAGTGTTAATAACACAGCGATATCACTGTGTTATTAACACTATAACATTCACAATATGGTTCCACCTGCCCTAGTGGAACCCGACGGAACCTGGAGACGTTGATAACAGGATATCTTGTTACCTTGATAACAGAAGTATACACTGAAGTAGTAGTACGAATTGAGCAAATCTCTTACTAGATGGAATGACCATATGAAACGACATAGCACTTACCTTAATCCAGTCCGCAAGTAACGGACGATGTTTGTCTCGGGCGAGCCGAGCACATTCCTGAGCCGTGTCAGCCAATGTTTGAATATCCTCATTTAGTTCGACGGGGACCGGAATGTGAGCTCGGTCGGAAATCATCATAGACCCGGGTAAGCGAACTTCAACAACACCTCGAGCACTGATAAGGCCCGCGCCACTGGAACTGCCCAAAATGTGACCATGCAGGCGAAGTTGTTCGTCCGACACCGACCCACGAGACTGTGGCTCTGGCGAAGATATGTGATCGGAATGCTCAGCGAATGGATCGGGGACCAGAATTTCCAATGCATTGGCCAGTGTGGCCAAATTTTCTTCTAACTGATCTGTTGATTCTGGGTGGGATGGTGGTGGAAGGAATTAGTGAAAAATTTGGATGAAAAAGCGAGAAAGAAGGAGAATNAGGAGAATACTGTGCGAATTCATCGATTCAACTGGAGATCGAACCTAGGAACTCACAGGCAGAACGCAAGCATGCTACCCTCTGGGTCACCGGGCAACTGATCAAACCGGGTTTGACCCCCAGTCCGGTCGATGGATTCACACTGCTGATGCGATCCAACCAGGTAGAAACAGCTGTCCGGTGCTTCGTAGCTTTACAGTTCACGCTTTACTTGCTCTATACACGATAAAGTCCCTCTTTGAAATTGAATCAACTCCTCAATTACTCCTATATAAGAACGCATTATTTGCGCATATACCAGGCACACATACAATTTACTCGCTACGATCAAAAAATTGAAAAGTACTCGAGACAGGGAGGTATTGAGTGCAATTTAACGAATGGATAACCTTTGTACTTTGTGCGTAGTTTTTGTCCATTAATTAATTAATGTTATTCCTCAAACCTCTGCCCAGTGAACGTACAACAACTTCAGTATTTTCTTTAATTCCAGCATCGTTACTGATCTTCTGAGAAGCAGTTCATGTCTTTAAAGGAAGCCAATCAGACAACGTTGTTTTGCTTTGGCATTATCATACGATGATCTCAAATGCATAAATATCATGTCCTCACACAGCCAGTCTTTATCGTTTTATCAGAAATCTGTTCACTGATGCTGTATTCCGGTTGCCGATCTCATTCACAGTGGCACTTATTGCGCTCACATTTTCCATCTGCTGACTGATGGTGTGGTAGTCGGCTCTCCGTTTTCAGACCATTCAGAGTTGCAGCTGTTGCGGCTTGTTTACCACAACGAGATGGAGGGTGGGTAGCACTGGTAGTTAAAGTGAGCAAAACGAATACCAAGAAACACTGCACGGAGTGGAAAACACAGAACTAACCTGCAATCTGTTTTAAGCACTGCGTTACCTGTCTCCGACGTCTGCGCTCCTCCACCTCCTCCCGTGCGCGAGCATGTTCCCGAGCTTGTGCCCGGGTGCGCTCGATCTCCTGGAGCTTGTGACGAACTCGAAGCAGATCGGCCTCGGAAATACGGTCAGCAGAGACTGTAGAACGAAGATATCGTAACAAACTGGCCAGTTGACCTCGCACTTGCGCGGACACAGTCCACACAGGTTTCGCGACTCCGTCCGTTGAGGAAGACACTGGGGTGGATGTGGCGGCTGCACAGGAATTAAAAACCCCATGAGCGATATCCGATTCCCAATTGAGTAGCAATTCAACAAACTCGCGCTCCGCCTGGTGAGCGATTTCGATTGGGCGAGGCAGATTGGGCGCATCCATGTTAATGCGTATCAGATAAGAGGAAAAATCCTGTAAACCGAAAGACCAAATGAAACAGACGGGGTGCATTATCTTTGTCCGCATGAACCGTCAACGGTAATTCTACCTCGTCAAGACTATTTATTTACTACGATCGACTTAAATTAGTTTGTTAAAAAGACGGAATCAAAATATCGCACACTAAAAGGATTGAATCAAAACAGTAGTGCTTAGTGTTTTACCTTTCCGGCTAAGTAGATGGAACTGAACCAAACTCAACAATTCGAAGATTTAACGTGAAAAGCAGAAAAACAAGAACAGGTAAATTGTACTTCATAAACAAAAGGGAGATTCAATTATAAAACTGTGCATCAGTTCAGTTCAGATCAGGAGAACGCAAGATGATTGAAGTAGGGTCTTGTATGCGTGTTTCGGAGACACAGCATACATCTGAATAGTCAAGTCAAAAATTGCTTCATTCATCCCTATGGATGGATTCTCAG